TACAAGGTGTGATCAAAACTATAGTGAATGCTACTGTCCAGTATCATCAAATAGAAGGGCAGGCTGGTAAAAACATTATTGTGTGTCCTCATCCACCTTATTCACCATCTTTGGCACCAAGAGACCTCTGGCTCTTTGCCAAAGTCAAAATGAGCATAAAAGGTAAATCTTTTGAATTGGTAAGACGTAGAGGCAGCCATGACTGCACAGCTAAAGATACTCATGAAGGAAAACTTCAGAACTGCTTCAGAAAGTGGCAAGAATGATGAGCTGTTTCTTCAAAGTGATGCACAAGTATTTTGAGGGGGATTAATGGCAATATGTCCTTTACTAAAATAAATTTCTCTTTTACCATTTATTTTTTATTAGTACATATTTCTTGTACTTAATGTTTATATTCCTTGTGTGGATTTCATACATGTGCACAGCACATTTTAATTTCTTTTTCATCTCCTTTTCCCCCTCCTTCTCCACCTCTTTAATTTAAACATTCACTGTATTTTTATCACATCTCATAAGTATTACAGATACACTTGGAATTCTTTGTTCCCATTTAAAATTTTACTTTTCTGAATCTCACCCAAGTGATAGCCACTATTCTGCCATTTATGCTACTTACAAGTGTACTGTTTTATGCTAAATTTTCCACTTATTGTGTTGTGTCATATATCTTCTAGAAATTTCCTTTTTGTATCACATTATTTTGTCCAATTTATCCATGTGGATTTATTCTAGAATCTGTTGAGCAGAGTCCATTAATAAGAAAGCAGCACAGTTTGCCTATCTGTTCCTCCACAGGTGGGCCATTTCTAAGTTTCCTATGTGACCACACAGGTCTCTGTGCGTATCTTCTTGAGGCCGTATGCTGGAGTCTCTCTAAAGGCTGATAAGGAACCAGAATTGCTGTCAAAGGTAGGTGAAGTTCAACTTTCCCTAGATATAGGCTAATTGTTTGCCAAATGCTAGTATTAATTTCTTTCCAACATCTGAAATTATTAGACTTTTATACTTTAGGCACTCCAAGATGAAAGATGTTTAATTAAATTTTGTGTTTAATTTAAACAGTTTTTTAAATTTTTGCTTATTGGTTACTCCAATTTCCTCTCAATGCCTGGCCTATTCATTTCTGTTACTCCTTATTTCCTGCTGTGTTTTTGGTTCTTTTATTGTTATTGAATAGGATATCTGCATTTTGACTGCTAATCCTTTGAAGAATATATGTGTAGTAAATTCCTTTCTCTTTGCCTGTTTTATGATGTCTTTTTCAAAGAAAGGTTTCAAAATAGTTGAATTTGCTTGTTTTCTGCCTGGTGTAACATAATTCCCACCGTGATATCACACACATCTTTTATTTTCTTCTACCTTTTGGAAGTTTTTATTTTCACAATTAATTCTTTAAGAATTCTTTTTCTGAATTATGTGTCATATCTAGGTAACCCATTTTCCTATGACCTTTTGCTAAATAGTCTGTTTTCCTGTCTATTAATGAACAAATTCACATCTATACCACCTTGTAATAAATGCTTAATCTCTCTCTCTGGGGCTCTCCAGTCTATTTTATGGGTCTATTTGTAAGTCTCTATGCCAGTACCAGGACAATGTTTGAATTACCAAAGGTAACTATTTTTATACCTGATGAAACAATTTTTTTCCTTCATATTTTCCTCCTTCAAATTTTCTTAGTTTGGATCAGTTTACTAAATTCCATGTTTAACAGAAATCTCTGGTACTTGGATTGAGTTTGCCTCAGAAATTAATTGGAAGAGAACTGACCTTTCTGCATTGAGGTTTTTTTATTAACATTCTTTGTTGCTCCATTTTCTTTTCTTCTCCTCTATTAAATTTTCTTAATTTTGGAAACCAGTTTTGCACCTATTTCATTAGAATTATTTCTGACTTCCTCAAATTTTTCATTGTTATTTTCCATGAGGCACCTTTTTTCACATTCTATTTTCTTTTTTTTTTTTCTTTTGGTACCGGGGATCGAACTCGGGTCCTTCCGCTTGCAAGGCAGGCGGCGGAACCACTGAGCTAAATCCTCGGCCCCTACATTCTGTTTTCTAATTTAATTTTACTTAACTATGATACCACTATTAATTTTTTAATATTGGTTTGTAACGAACAAACTTGCTGAAATCTTAGTCTATCTAGAGATTCTTTTTTCCTTTCCTTATATATAATCATATTTTACATGATTTCTACTCTTTTGTTCTTTTCTTTCAATTCTTACGTGGCAAAATTCTTTCAAGTCTCCTTTCATAGATAGGGCAATTATGGCCACATCTCTTTTACCAAAAGGACATAAAACCCCTCCACCAGCCCTTGGGGCCTACCTAATTCCTGATTTTAAACCTTCACTAGGCTTACAATTCTTACTATAAGTTTTCTGTTTCTCATACCAGTGTATTACCATATCTTTCTTTTAGTTTGGTCACATGTTTTGAGGTGGGGTTTTTTTTTTAATTGTATGTTTAACTTATGATGTCTGTGTTTTGCTAGCAGTGGAACTGTCAACATCAGCTAAGAACCCCATCTCTGAAATCTTATACTTCCAAATCATATGAGCTAAGGAAGGTCTCTGAGCTCTCTAGGTTTACTGAGCCCTTTGAAAGCTGAGGTATTTGATTCTATATGAACAAGGGAAAGGGTATCTTGTGAGAGAAATTCAAACTGCTTTAGGTGTAGAGATGAGAATGAACATCATAATTGAATACAACAAAAATAAGTAGATCTACAGCTCCTATGCCTAGCATATCATTCACATGTGTTGTATAAGGAACACTGAGAAATGGTGCTAGAATTAAAGATTTAATTAATTTTAGTAGAAGTTGTTTAGAAAAACTTGGGGATTAAGTCTTATACCTGAGACTAATGAAACAAATTGATTGCAAAATGTAAAATAGCTTAAGGACTGTAATAGATCTGTCTCCTGTGTTCAAGATGGTACTTTTTGTGATAAATGTTTCTCTTTGATGTGAGGAACTAGGGATACAGGATTATCATAGCATATGGTCACCATCATCCCATTCAAGTTCAATGACATTTGCCTATACCAGGCACAAGGAAAAGTGTGGAGGAAGTCCAGAACTGTAACACATAGGCCTCACTGCTAGGGAGACAAGGAAAAGTAATCTAATTGAGTGAACAAGAAGACAAGATCATTGATTTGGCCAACCAGCTAGGATTCTTTGCCATAATTAGCATGCCTTAGTGTGCAAGATGGATCAACAAGGAGGGAACCTGTGGTGAAACAGCAAGGAATGCGTTGTAATATTGCAGATAGAATAGTATTATGTTCTAAGCTAAACCACTAGACATTAAGTAGAAAAATTGAGTTGTGTAATAATAATTTTGCGTGCAGAAACAACAAGATAAGGTGGTCAAGGAAGACAGAAACTGGGACATTGTGTTTGTGAGCACCCCACATGTGGGGAGTGCTAGAAATAAAACAGGATTTAACTGAAGGACCATTGGCTGTTAACTTCTTGGTGCATGCAATGAATAATACTCTATAATAACCTATCAGGAGGAGTTAAAAATAAACAATACATGGTTTTCTGTATGCAAAATCTTGAAATCTTCTGCTTAGGCTGAATATACGGTGTATGGGGGTTTGGTAAGATATGTTGGCAGGATGACCAAACATGGATATGTGGGGAAAAGAAATCAAAGCATAAAGAAATGGACTGAAATTTTACTAAGCAGTACTCTCTATGAAGTTGCATGAATGTGCAAGTTAATCTTGATTGTCAACTTGATTAGCTGGAGAGATGCCTAGGACATTAAGAAAGAAACTTCTTCCCAACTTCTCTGGCTCTTTCCCTGCTCTCTGTTCCCGAGATGTCATGATTTGTGCAGCTTTCCTCTGCCATATCCCTCCACCATGTTTCAGCCTTGAAGACAGTCAACCATGGACTAAAATTGCTGAAACCATGACCCACAAACAAACCATTTTCTCCTTTAAGTTGTGTAAGTAAGATATTTTGTTGGAGCAATGAGAATTCTGGCCAATACAGTGAGTCACCACAAGATATATGTAAGAGCAAGAATTGGAAAATGAAGAGAAAAATCAGTACAATTATGTATATTTGAAGATTTGCCAAGATCAAACCTATTAAAGAGAGTGATGAAGTTCTGCTTTGAAAATAGAACACATGGGGGAAATGGAACACTTGGTACCTAAATCCAGTGATCCTTGTGATTTGCAATTTTCCAATGTCAGTGTAGACATCTGTTGCTTCCTGGGTTCTGAGATCAGTCTGTGTTGGCTCAATAGAGCTATTCCTAATTTCCAGGCTAATCTTTCTACTAACAAATCTTTTGTGCTACTGTCAACTCAAAAATGAAGTCTTCTCCTTACCATGTATAATGAAATGAGTATGGTGGTGCCTCAGTTTACAAACTTAATTTGTTTTATGATTTGGGAGAAAATGGCTGTGTTTGTGTTTGTGTAAGGAAGATGGCTGTGGTCATGTTTGTCACTCTATCCGGAGTTTGTGAGTGGAAGCAAAATTTTGCCAAACACTTTTGTTTGGAACAGAATTGTTTAAAAACAGAAGTGTTCATAAACCAAGGAACTGCTATATGTGATTCTAGCTTGTCCACTAAATTTTAATTTCATTGAGAGCAGATATTATGTTTTATATGTTGAATAAATGTAGCTGTGACTTCTCCATGAATCTTAACAAGAGCTCTATCTAGACTGTGAAATATGGAATGCAACTGTAAAGTGATTAAATGCTAGGTGTTGTGTGACAGTGCTGGTTGGGAGGATGAGCACCTCTGCTTCACAGACAGCTCACTTCTTAGACATGAGTGTCTGAGGATGAATAACAATTAGCATTATTCACCAATAGAGATTTTGCTCCAGTGTATTGGGTATCTGTAGACTCTATAAGCTCAGAGGTAGAGAAAACTGATCACTTGAGTCAAAAGTAGTGAATATGAGAGGTCTGCACTAATAATGTTGGATTCCTTTGCCTGTTCAGGCTGAAGAAACCATGAGAGAAGAAAACCAGTCTTCTACCAAGGATTTTATCCTCCTGGGAGTTACTGGTCAGAAGGAACAGGAAGATTTCATCTTCACCCTCTTCTTGTTCATTTACCCTATCACACTGATTGGAAATATGCTCATCATTCTGGTCATTTGTTATGACACTCACCTTCACAATCCCATGTATTTTTTCCTTGCCAATCTCTCCCTTGTTGATATCTTTTTCTCATCTGTAGCAACTCCCAAGACATTGGTTAACCATCTCCTAGGTAGCAAAACCATCTCCTTTGGGGGATGCCTCACACAAATGTATTTCATGATCGCCTTGGGTAACATAGATAGCTACATCTTGGCTGCAATGGCCTATGATCGAGCTGTGGCTATCAGCCGCCCACTTCATTATACAACAATTATGAGCCCACGGTCCTGTGTCCTTCTGGTTGTTGGGTCTTGGGTGGTTGGAAATGCCAATGCCCTTCCCCACACTCTACTCACAGCTAGTCTGTCCTTCTGTGGCAACAAAGAAGTGGCCAACTTCTACTGTGACATTACCCCCTTGCTCCAGCTGTCCTGTTCTGACATCCACTTTAATGTGAAGATGATGTACCTAGGAGTTGGTGTTTTCTCTGTGCCATTACTATGCATCATTATCTCCTATGTTTGTGTCTTTTTCACAGTCTTACGGGTTCCATCTACTCAGGGCATACTCAAAGCCTTCTCCACCTGTGGTTCTCACCTTACAGTTGTTTCTTTGTATTATGGGACAGTTATGGGCATGTATTTCCGACCTCTGACCAGTTACAGCCTAAAGGATGCAGTGATAACTGTAATGTACATGGCTGTGACCCCAATGTTAAATCCTTTTATCTATAGTCTGAGAAACCGGGACATGAAGTCTGCTCTGGTAAAGCTCTTCCACCACAGAACTTCTTCATAGCCAGTATGGAATCATGCATCAGATACTGCAGCCACCAACTGGGAAGCAGATTGAAATCCAGCTCCAATGCCAGACTTAGGATTTAGGATTGTCTTTGATTTAAGCTTCCTTTGATTCTTTCATCCTGAAATTTCTTTTCTCAAAAATCTTATAGTAGTTTGATGAGACAACTTAAAGAAATTATCAAGTTCAATACACTTCTGTTCCCTTTGGCAGAGTGGCAGCCCAAGATATTGTGTTTATGGCCCATCTATGCCACTTACTAGCAGAGTAACTTGGGAAAGTCTCAAACTGAGCTTCCATATCCACATATAAGGTGTAATCAACAAATATGCTGAAAATTTAAATTTTTAAAAAATTATTAAAGTAAAGGCACATTGCAATTAATCTCTCTCAAAAATACTTCCCATCACTTTTAATACTCATTCCATTGTTCTTGCCACTTTATGAAGCAGTTCTGGTTATCCTCTTTTATTGGTACCGGGGATCAAATTCGGGTCCTTGTGCTTGCGGGGCAGGCAGCGGAACCACTAAGCTAAATCCCCAGCCCTGGATATCCTCTTTTATAAGTGTCTTTAGTTGTGCTGTCATGGATGCCTCCATAACCTTGAATCAATTCAAAACATTTACCTTTCATGGTCACTTGATGTTGAGGAAGAGCAAAAGGTCGCATGGCACTAGATCTGGTGAATAAAGTGAATGCAGACATACCATATTTTTTTATTTGACAGAAATTGCCATAAAGTATAAACTGCTTCAGAGAACAGCAAGAATAACAAGTGTGTTTGAGGCAAAGGGGCCTATCTTGAGTGACATTGATGGCAATGTGTCTTTAATGTAGTAAAACTTTTAAAATTTAAACATTCATTGTATTATTTGATCATAGTGTACTAGGAATAATATCTGCCCATCCTGTGTCACAAGATGAGTCACAATAGCTCATTCTTTGAAGACTATAATTCACTACTTCCATGTCAATTTTATTTGGCTACTATGTTTAAATCACCACAATTAGGCTTCCAAGCTTCTTATGGAAAGACTTATGTTAGTACTTTGCTATAATTTTATAGCCTTGGTCATATAAATTTCATTCGATATATATTAATGGAGATGGAATGAATAAATGAAAGTATTAGTCTCTGAAACAAAACCTTGGGGTAATTAGATATAACCAGACTAGATATTACTGACCTATCCTTAAATTTTTTAAAGAAACTGACCTTAGGAGATATTTCTGTGCTTCTTTCATAGTTGATTAAACTACACTGTCTCTAAAGATCAGAAGACTCTTCCTACAATCTTACTAGCATAACAGTAACCAATAAATTTATTAGAGTTAAAAGTAACAAAGACTCTGATTTAATTAATATAATAACATGCTGGTTTAATTCAGCATAGCATGAAATAAAGCTATAGTCATCAAAAAATGTGTTGCCATTCAGTAAGTAAAGAAAAAAGGTCAGTGTTGATATGATATGGCTATGTTTCTTCAGCATGGTCCAGGTGAGCTGAGGCTGTAATTCTGGTAGGTGATATTCCTTAAACATATAGGATTAATCTAACAAATCTCTAAATACCCACTGAGAAACCCCATTGTGTATTGTTTGTTCTACCTATGAGAAAATTATTAAAGTTTTCAAAATATTAATGACATAAATGTTCAACAATTTCATATCTGAAAACAGGATAATGTTAAGAGATTGATTTAGATATACTTTAGAATAGTACACAAATTGTTTTATTACCTACTCTTTTTAACTACAAGGAAATATATGAAATTATTATTTTCTATAGATAATTCACATTGCCAAGAATTTGTTCATTGATGTCAGAAGATACCAGTACTCACATTTTAGTGAGTACTGAAACCTTTAAACTAGAAGGATGGGAAATATCACAATTATCTTCTTTTTAATCAAAAGGCATTTGATTTAAAAAGAACATAAATCTATGGGGGTGGATGACCAAATGATAAAGAGAGATATTTTATTTTGAGTATTTTCAAAGTTGGACAATGAAAATATTTACAAGAATTTATTTATTGTCTCCCCACCAAAATGTGAAAGTTTGAGATCTGTCTGGTTGGCTGCTCTACCTTCTGCACTTAGAACAATGTGACGCATAATAAGTACTTTAATAAAATTAAGTGAATAACTGAATCCTACACTGTTATAATGACTATAAGTTTAGATTAATTTGGCTTTTATGAATAAATTCAGTAAAGTCAGATGGAATGAGATATTTCAGGTATGTCTCATGGAGAAATAATAAATACCAAAAAAAATACTATAAGAGAAGAGCTGAGGAATTGTAGATTCTTAGAACTCCAAACAACCTTAACTGCTGAATCAAACACAAATTATTCCTCTGCTTTAAGTTAGATAAAGGGAATTGACCTCCTCTATATTTTTGCTACAGTAACCATAAGTATCTATGTATATATTTATAATTTTAACTGCAAATAAAAACTACTGCACCTGTCTATCAAGTCATTGTCTAAGCGATCTCTCTTTGATTCTATCAAGCATAATGTCCTGAACTAATATTACCCCTAGAGTTTACATTATTTTGTACCAATGTCCAGGGATTGACATCTGTCTAGAAAAGACTATATAGCTGATATTTCAGTGAGGGTTACTTAGGATCCATTCAGGAAGATGAAATCACATCTGGTGTATCTAAACCATGAAGATTTAATACACAGAATGAGATACACAAATGTATCCTGAAAGAGACTAAAGGAAAAAATAGATGTATGCTGAAGTCATCAGAGATTAACTTCAGGAAGAAGTTATTTCCCCTATGACTAGGAGAAAAAAGAAGGGAAAATGGTGTTATCAGACGTAAGGGATAGAGGAGAGATGACCACATATCTGATACTCAGATCTCTGCAGGGAGCTGCTGAGCAACTAGCACTTGACTTTCACCCTAATTTTCATTCTTTGGGGAATCCTCAATAGCACTTTTTGGGGGGTGAGGGAGCTGGTATAGTTTGGACTGCTTCTATCTATTGAGCATGGAAACACTAAGAAGCCCCCAGACACAGTTTCAGACAGTCTTCTTTGGTCCCCATTATGTAATCGCAACGGTGTCCTTGGCAGTTAGGATCAATCCCTTCAGCCAACAGAGAAATCTCTCTTTTCCGAATGACCCACAGAGACATACTATAATTTGGTTGAATCTCAGTTTAAAAAAAAGCTATTAGGTTCAAAAAATGTAAATCTCCAAAGATTATTATTGGTACCCTTTTATTAAAGGCTATATCTAAAAACAACCAAAACTATTTTTCAAAAACCTACACATGTGCCATAAAAATTTATTAAAAAGAAATGCAAGGGAAAGATAACCACAAGACTCAGAATGAGAGGAAATTCAAGAGAAGATAGTCAGGGAACTACTTATGAATACTTTGCAGTTAGATGTATGTTATGATTTCATTCCTGATTTTCAACTTAGGTGGTCAGAACAGGGGTGTTTATAAAATCATGAAAGATGATAGATAGATAAATAGATAGATAATGTGCATGAAATAATGATAAGAGCTTTTCTTGAATCAAGGATCGGGTAGATAAGAGCTGTAAAGGAGGACAAAGAATGAAGAGACCAGCAGTTTAATCAGACATGTCTCAGAGCAATCTGAGGAAAAGAAAATGAAGATTTGAACCAAACACCTAGACGCAAAGGTAACATGGATACAGAAACAATAGAATGTAGTAGTTTTAATAAAGCAATAATATACAATAGGGCAAGCCTTTGCCTTTGCCCTCTTCCCTTGTTTTTTTTTTCCATAAACCAGAAATGTAACTGTTTGTGCTGCACAGTGTTGCTGCCCAGTGTATCAAAATGTTCTGTAACTTTTTGAACTGAAGGATTTTTCAAGAATGTTCTGTTAACTCCATCCCTCTGCTTCTGTGAGCAAGTGGCCTGGTATATGTTTCAAGAACGTTCTGAGCCTGCTGCAGACAGGCAGGTCTGTGCACGCCCTACCAAGGTCTGGAGTCGCATGGAAGACGCCGAGTCACCCCGCTGCAGACAGGCAGGCCTGCCCACGCCCTACAGAGGTCCCGAGTCACACGGAAGACTCCGAATCAACCCGCTGCACACAGGAAGGTCTATGCACGCCCTACCGAGGTCCCAAGTTGCACGGAAGATGCCGAATCAGCCCGCTGCAGACAGGCGGCCACCTGGTTCCACACTACAAAGACACAGAGGACACCAGACCACCAGACCACCAGACCAAGGTACTGAGTGCCGCTGTTCCCGGCCCAGAGGTAGGGGCTTCTGAGTCACCGTCCCACTGCTCCTGGTCCAGAGGAAGGCGCTTCCCAGTAACCATCCCTCCCACTGCTCCCAGCCCAGAGGAAAGGGCTTTTGGGCCACCTACTATCCTGCTGCTACTGGCCCAGAGGAAGGGGCTTCCAGGCCACCATCCCTCCCACCACTCCCAGCCCAGAGGTAGGGGCTTCTGTGCTGCCATCCCACTGCTCCTGGTCCAAAGGAAGGGGCTTCCTGGCCACCATCCCTCCCGTTGCTCCCAGCCGACATGAAAGGGCTTTTGGGCCACCATCCCTCCCACTGCTCCCAGCCCACAGGAAAGGGCTTTTGGGTCACCATCCCATCATTTTTGGCTCACGGCCCCTGGCCCACCTCACCCAGCTCAGAGGAGGTAATCCATGCAAACGCTAACAGCCCCCTGCCCCAGTCAAAATGAAAAAACACGTAAATAAGTCTCAAAACCAGACTTCCAGATCACCTACAGCAACCCCAAAGGGAAATGAGAT